GAAGGCATCTTCAGGACTGAAAAACACCAAATGCATACATATTTACGTCAAATTACAAAAAACTTACATCAAAAACGCAACTTACATTATTGAGTTTTTCTAATCGACTAATTCTATGTGCAGAAAAATATTAACAAACAAGCTCAAAGAACACTTAAACATAAACAAGAGAATTTAGGCAAGTCGAAATACCGTAAATGTAAACAAAAAATATACAAACAACAATACATGTAGTGGTGGACAGTAGGACGGAGAGAATCTGTATGTAGAAAAGCACGGCATAGCATTGTTATTGTCGGACGAAGTACTGGTGGCGGACCGACGAACAGTCACATGAACACATAAACACATGACACCTACGTTATTGGTTTTTGTGCGTGAGAATTAAATTGCGATAGACATGAGCGCAGTTGTCTGTGTCCGTTTTAAAATTCATCCTTCAATTATTAGGGATGTTCATGATGTGTAGCATCTCTAGAGTATAACGTTTATTGTAATTTTTCTCTTCCTGTAAGATTGCTACACTGTCAAAATCGGGATAATGTCCCATATTTTGGCAGTGAAGTGTTAAGGCTGTCTTATTGTCCATAGAGTTATTCCTTAATTTTATGTTAGATTTATGAGCGGAAATCCTTGTCTTCAATTTAGATTTGGTTGTCCCCACATATACCATATCGCATACGTGGGACCCGTCACCATTGCATGGTATTCTGTAGATTACGTCAGATTTCTCATTTTTAGGAACTTTGTCTTTGGTGTTGGTGTATATTTGTTTTAAAGTATTATCATACGTGAACGCTATGTGAAATTTCTCTCTGTCAAACATTTTAGAGTGCTTAATCCTCTCTGATAATCCTGGAACTTATGTTGCCGATGTATAAATTTTCTTCTCATTTGATTTATCTTTATTGGACTTGATATAGTAATCGCGGATGAGTTTGTTAATCAAGCCGTGGGGAAATTCGTTTTTCTCCAGGATTTCTTTAATAATGTCAATATTTTTCTTGTGGTACATCTTATCACTTATGGTGAGTACTCTGCGGATGAAGTTGGTAGCCGTATTTATAATTGTCCTCCTCTCGTGGTTGGAATTAAAATTTATAAGCCTCCCTGATGCTGTAGGTTTCTTATACCAGTCAACTGTTAATGCATTTTCTTTTCTGATTATTAGGGTGTCCAAGTATGGTAGTTGTCCTTCATTTTCTATTTCTATTGTGAATTTTAAAGTTTTGTTAAAATTGTTTAAAGTGTTGAGCATCTTGTCTATGTTTTCCGTTTTTACAATCGCAAATAAATCATCAACATATTTGGTAAGTAGCCGTGGTTTGCTGTCCGAATCTTTTTCGAATTTATTTAAAAGTTTTTCCATAACTATATCCGCTTTGACAGGTGAAGCAGGTGAACCCATAGGCATTCCTGACTTCTGCTCATAAATCTTATCATTGTATTTGAAGTAGCGGTTCTCTTTAGTGCAGTACTTTAATATGGTTAAGAAAAGCTCTCTAGTTAATGACGTATGCTCTTTTATCAAACTCCATTTCAAATCTATAATCTCTATTGCTAAGTCTACGGGGATGCTCGGGAATAACGATACGACATCAAAAGACACCAAACTTTCATCGTCATAAATATGGGTATTTCCAATCTTGTTTTTGAACTCGATCGCATCTTTAACGTTATACTTGGAGGACATTGTTATATTTTTGAGTACGCGGACAATATATTTGCATAATTTGTAAGACGGTGAATTGACGGACGAACATATAGGTCTCAGGGGAACTCCTTCTTTATGGATTTTCGGCAATCCGTAAATTCGAGGGGGATTAGCCGTTTTGCAGGTCAGGTAGTTCTTTTCCTTTAAATCAATGATTTTATTAGCATACATCTTCTCCACTATTTCATTATTTTTCCCTTGTAGCTTATTTGTAGGGTCACGTTTTAAAACCCTATATGTTGAGATGTCATTTACAATTTTCTGCATCTTCATGTCATATTCTGCTTTGTTCATCGCTACAGTTACGTTCCCTTTGTCAGCATTGAGGATTAAAATTTGGTCATGGTTTTTCAGAAACGTCTTAGCAGAATGAAGGGTATTATGAATAAACTTATCTCTAATTGTATATGTCGTCTTATTTATGTAATCGCGTATTAAAGTCGTCAAGTTGTTTCTTTCAATTTCCTGTTTTTCTTTATCTTTAATTGTCTGTATGCAGTTCTCCCCATCTGCTATAATCTTAAATAGTGGAAACTCTTTGCTGGATATAGGTAAGGCGAATTTCGGTCCTAAAGATAGGAGCCACTGAATGTCATCTGGAATTTCTGTACTTGTTATATTGCAAAACCATTCTGGGACAGCCCTAATGTTAAGTAATTGTTTTTGTTTCTCTCTTAATTTTTCATACTTGCTAGCTTGTGTTTTCTTAATAGTTGTAGTGAGTGTATTAGTTATTCTTTCTTCACTTTCAAAAAATGCATTATAATCCCGCATACTTAATTGTTGTTTAATATGTACTTTTAGTGATTTTACCTCTTTTCCTTTTTGTCGAAGTAGCTCGTGTTTTATACTAATGAGGAGATTCAGTAGTTTGCTCTGTACCTTTTGTATATACGCAGACACAGAGTTGGCGATAGTTGTTGACATCTTGTTATTGCTGATATTGTTGTTTGTTGTGTAGACAATATTTTTGGTAGCATTATGGATGAAGTTTGGAGTTAAGCCGCTCCTTCTGCAGCTTTCCAGAAATTGGGTCGATACTGTTGTTCTAGCTATCTGTTGTGTGACATTTTGAAAGCGTTTGATGTGTTTTTTGGTATTAACGTCATAGTTGTGTTTGATGTTAGTGTAAATCTTGTACGTGTATTTGTCTTCTCGGTGTGCTCTCCGTTCAAACATGATTAGTTTTTTGATTTTGGCCGTTCTATTATAATTTATTCGTTAATTTTGAGCTCCAGGCCGGTTATTAAATAAAACATAGATTTTGGTAGTTTTATTTATTACATTTATTGCTGTCGATATTTCGCCTTCAATCTGAAGGCATCTTCAGGACTGAAAAACACCAAATGCATACATATTTACGTCAAATTACAAAAAACTTACATCAAAAACGCAACTTACATTATTGAGTTTTTCCAATCGACTAATTCTATGTGCAGAAAAATATTAACAAACAAGCTCAAAGAACACTTAAACATAAACAAGAGAATTTAAGCAAGTCGAAATACCGTAAATGTAAACAAAAAATATACAAACAACAATACATGAAGTGGTGGACAGTAGGACGGAGAGAATCTGTATGTAGAAAAGCACGGCATAGCATTGTTATTGTCGGACGAAGTACTGGTGGCGGACCGACGAACATTAACATGAACACATAAACACATGACACCTACGTTATTGGTTTTTGTGCGTGAGAATTAAATTGCGATAGACATGAGCGCAATTGTCTGTGTCCGTTTTAAAATTCATCCTTCTATTATTAGGGGTGTTCATGATGTGTAGCATCTCTAGAGTATAACGTTTATTGTAATTTTTCTCTTCCTGTAAGATTGCTACATTGTCAAAATCGGGATAATGTCCCATATTTTGGCAGTGAGATGTTAAGGCTGTCTTATTGTCCATAGGGTTATTCCTTAATTTTATGTTGGATTTATGAGCGGAAATCCTTGTCTTCAATTTAGATTTGGTTGTCCCCACATATACCATATCGCATACGTGGGACCCGTCACCATTGCATGGTATTCTGTAGATTACGTCAGATTTCTCATTTTTAGGAACTTTGTCTTTGGTGTTCGTGTATATTTGTTTTAAAGTATTATCATACGTGAACGCTATGTGAAATTTCTCTCTGTCAAACATTTTAGAGTGCTTAATCCTCTCTGATAATCCTGGAACATATGTTGCCGATGTATAAATTTTCTTCTCATTTGATTTATCTTTATTGGACTTGATATAGTAATCGCGGATGAGTTTGTTAATAAAGCCGTGGGGAAATTTGTTTTTCTCCAGGATTTCTTTAATAATGTCAATATTTTTATTGTGTTACATCTTATAACTTATGGTGAGTACTCTGTGGATGAAGTTGGTAGCCGTATTTATAATTGTCCTCCTCTCGTGGTTGGAATTAAAATTTATGAGCCTCCCTGATGCTGTAGGTTTCTTATACCAGTCAACTGTTAATGCATTTTCTTTTCTGATTATTAGGGTGTCCAAGTATGGTCGTTGTCCTTCATTTTATATTTCTATTGTGAAATTTAAAGTTTTGTTAAAATTGTTTAAAGTGTTAAGCATCTTGTCTATGTTTTCCGTTTTTACAATCGCAAATAAATCATCAACATATTTGGTAAGTAGCCGTGGTTTGCTGTCCGAATCTTTTTCGAATTTATTTAAAAGTTCTTCCATAACTATATCCGCTATGACAGGTGAAGCAGGTGAACCCATAGGCATTCCTGACTTCTGCTCATAAATCTTATCATTGTATTTGAAGTAGCGGTTCTCTTTAGTGCAGTACTTTAATATGGTTAAGAAAAGCTCTCTAGTTAATGACGTATGCTCTTTTATCAAACTCCATTTCGAATCTATAATCTCTATTGCTAAGTCTACGGGGATGCTCGGGAATAACGATACGACATCAAAAGACACCAAACTTTCATCGTCATGAATATGGGTATTTCCAACCTTGTTTTTGAACTCGATCGCATCTTTAACGTTATACTTGGAGGACATTGTTATATTTTTGAGTACGCGAACAATATATTTGTATAATTTGTAAGACGGTTAATTGACAGATGGGGAGAACTGCATACAGACATTTAAAGATAAAGAAAAACAGGAAATTGAAAGAAACAACTTGACGACTTTAATACGCGATTACATAAATAAGACGACATATACAATTAGAGATAAGTTTATTCATAATACCCTTCATTCTGCTAAGACGTTTCTGAAAAACCATGACCAAATTTTAATCCTCAATGCTGACAAAGGGAACGTAACTGTAGCGATGAACAAAGCAGAATATGACATGAAGATGCAGAAAATTGTAAATGACATCTCAACATATAGGGTTTTAAAACGTGACCCTACAAATAAGCTACAAGGGAAAAATAATGAAATAGTGGAGAAGATGTATGCTAATAAAATCATTGATTTAAAGGAAAAGAACTACCTGACCTGCAAAACGGCTAATCCCCCTCGAATTTACGGATTGCCGAAAATCCATAAAGAAGGAGTTCCCCTGAGACCTATATGTTCGTCCGTCAATTCGCCGTCTTACAAATTATGCAAATATATTGTCCGCGTACTCAAAAATATAACAATGTCCTCCAAGTATAACGTTAAAGATGCGATCGAGTTCAAAAACAAGATTGGAAATACCCATATTTATGACGATGAAAGTTTGGTGTCTTTTGATGTCGTATCGTTATTCCCGAGCATCCCCGTAGACTTAGCAATAGAGATTATAGATTCGAAATGGAGTTTGATAAAAGAGCATACGTCATTAACGAGAGAGCTTTTCTTAACCACATTAAAGTACTGCACTAAAGAGAACCGCTGCTTCAAATACAATGATAAGATTTATGAGCAGAAGTCAGGAATGCCTATGGGTTCACCTGCTTCACCTGTCATAGCGGATATAGTTATGGAAGAACTTTTAAATGAGTTCGAAAAAGATTCGGACAGCAAACCACGGCTACTTACCAAATATGTTGATGAGTTATTTGCGATTGTAAAAACGGAAGACATAGACAAGATGCTCAACACTTTAAACAATTTTAACAAAACTTTAAAATTCACAATAGAAGTAGAAAATGAAGGACAACTACCATACTTGGACACCCTAATAATCAGAAAAGAAAATGCATTAACAGTTGAATATTTTAGGTCGCTTAGCCCCTTCGCACTCACCTTGTAATCACGCACTTCGATCTTTATACCAACACACACTTTCTTTCGACTTTAAATTTACAGAGTTTTAATTGGGTTTATATTTAGGTCTTGTAGCTTCGTTCTTCACACTTCAAAACTTACAGTTCCAAGTT